TTCAGAATGGCACCCAGGCTAAAGCGAAACGTCTTCAAACTTGGAACCAAAGTCCGGTGGATTGTTTTTAATTTCCTTGTTACAGAAACTAACTTCTCCGCCCTAAATACCTTCACATTTACAGTGTTTCTGTGATTTCTATCTATCAAGAGGAAACTCCTCTTTCCTGTTATTGAATCACATCAGGCGGTTTAGCCGTCTCCTGCTCCGTATATCCAGACTTGGTTGACCTTGGTTAATAAAAGATGTCTGGCGGTTTCCTCTCACTCATCCTCCTGCTGCTTAGAAGCCAGAAATAATGAACACCTCCGATAGTAATTGAAACTGTGATGAAGTTATTCAGAATAACCAAAGCTGCCTGTAATCACAGAAAATGTTGCTTAGCTACTGTTGAAAAGCTCTGCAGCTTGGCAGGAGAAAGACCTTTTAATCAAAGCAGCTTATAAAGAAGTTTTTATTCCCTCTTCTTCTCGTTGGCAGCTTTTACCTTCTATCTCTAAATCTCTGGTGTTTATTTTTTTTCTGTCTGCAGAGAAACTGGAGCAGCTCGCCTGGAAGAAGGTGGTCAGATGAAGCTCTCAGGGGCATCCCAATGGACGGGGGGGAGAAACAAAAAAAGAATGGAGTTACTGGTTCTGTTGTTTTAAAAGCTGAGGGAGTTTGTCCTCGCCATGCGCAGACGGCAGCCGATTCAGGCTCAAACAGGACTTGAAGCTGTTTGGGAGAGAGATGACGACTCCTCACCTTATGAACTCTAATGCTGGCCGATCACCATGGATTAATGTTTTGTAATTACTGTAACTTTTGAACACGTTTTCCCTCCACCTCCTCTACCAGCAGCTAGAAAGCTAGCGGGCTAATCTACCGGAAAATGAGCGCTCCTTTTTATAGAACGCTGTGAAATTGTTTTTTAATTTTCCTCCACCCCTCAATCTGACCTAAAGTAATTTTTTCTTCTTAAAATACGCGACGCCGGATTTTTAAGAGGTTTGCAGTGTTTTCAAATTCACGCCTGATTGCAGGGGATTACAGTCGGCGGTTAAAAGGGGCGAGGATCAGAATGGTCGGGTTCATCGACGCTGCAGTCCAGCGCTAATTCAAAAGCATTTGCCCGCCTGCAAACATTAAAGGCTTTATGTTCTCAGCAGCTTCACATCCAAGTAGAATTCAGCAGGAGGGAAAAGGACAGAGGGTGAAGACAGACATTACTGACACCCCTTCCTTTCATTCATCCGTTCATCCATCCATCATGCTTCTGTTGATTCGATTCCCCCCCCTTCTGCCACTTTCAGCCATTATCACTGATGACATTACAGCAGCCTGTGGTGCCGAGTTACATCCAGAGGTCAAAATCCTACTTTCCTGTATTAAAAACAAATTTCCCGGTGCCGATCCAGTGGTCAGAAGCAGCATTAGCTCCGTTTGGCTTATTGGAAAAGCCTGCTTCTTATGGGATGGAGCATTAGATACCAGGACTGAAACCATCAGCGGAGATGAAATGTCAACGACCATATCCAAAACAGACCATTTTTCAGTCTTTATGCGCTATTATGTCTGAAGTAATGATTCCTGCGTCTCCTATAATCTAATGGTGGATAAGTGATGGTGTGGAAGCAGTCTGGTTGTGAATCGATGAACTGTCAGGAAGCATAAGGGTGGAGAGGAAAGTAAACGTTGCTGCGCTGTGATCAATAAAGGTAGACTAGAGTCTGAGAGAGACTGGAATCCGTCACCGCCGGTGTTTCTGCCCACGTCTACAGGAGCCTGCCGCCGCGCGTTCATCTAATGCTGGGGGGGGGGTGTTAAAACGCAGAGTGTTGAAGCAGTGGACAGCTGGATTGCTTCCTTCGGCCTTGACGGATTCACACCATCAGAGGAACATCTCATGCTGCTGCTGCTGGTTTTAAAAAAAGAAAAAAAAGGTGATTTTTGAACCTTTTTTTTTACAGACTTCATGTAAGCTCGCCTCATGCCTGGTGTCCTTGACGCTCCAGGGGGAAATGTTCTGAAGATTTATCTTTCTATGGCTTCTATAAATACTGTGTACAGTTCATGTAAAACAAAACAAGCTCCTAACTTGTATCAAAGGTCGGATTTTAATACAATAAAAATGGCAAAGAATGAGGCTGCTTTGTTTCTTTTGTATTGATGCTTTACAGATATCTGAACCTACAGTATGTTCAGCATCTTATCACTGCAAATGTTTTTTTTTTATTTTATTTTAAAATATTTGATACAGTGTATAACCAAGGAGGAAAATACATTTTAGCAGTTTTATCAAAGTTCTCATTGTTGTTGGTAATCTGATTAGACACGCTACTCTGACCTAAAGTGCTTTAAATACCTTTCTGACGTAGGAATGATTTATGTTTCATTATTGTTGCAATTAACCTTTT